ATATTTTTTTTAATGAAAAAGTGTGGAAAATATATCATTTAAATGACATGTATTATTATATACATTTCTATTTAAAGCTACAAATTAAATCTTCATAAAATAGAGGCTGAAATACTCTGCGCTTACTGGTTTTCTGAATGGGTTTGCCTCATAGCTAATAATATAGTTTTGTATAAATATATCATGCTTATTAATTTTAAAACGGCTAAACTAACAGCTTGCAAAACACTTTTATTTAAGTATATATTTAGTATCGATATTTCATATACTTTTCAACAGTTATGGTTGCCTTTAGAGCCCCTTTTTCAGTTCATATATTAGTTCACAGCTAAAATTAAAAAAAAAATCAAAATTAAAAATTCAAATATCATATTCAAGCCGGTTTAGCTCCACTGTGGTGCACAAAACTCTTCAGCAAAAATATATATGTATATTTTATTTAAATAAATATTTCATAAAATTGATTCGCTCGGACTGCGAGAGATCATTTACACATAACGTTATTAGGCACCTAAGACTCTTATTATCCATAAATAATGTTGTTTTCGAATATTTCATTCAAGTCTTAATCAAGTATGTATATTGAGGCGACTCGATAATTGGCTTAAGACATCATTTACGAATAAGGAAATAAATTAAATAACATATGTGCACGTACAATCAGAATTGAAAGTTAAAGCTGAAAAAAAAGAAAAAAAACAACAAAAAATAGTAGCTACTAGCATAGGATCGATATGTTAATTGAGCTACAATTGCTAGGCAAGCATCTAATTCGACTATAAGTCACGGCTAACAATGCGAATGCTATGTAAATGCGGCTCATCTCCATTTCATGCGATGACAAAACACTTCCATAACATTTCAATCTATGCACTTGACGGCTGTGCGATGCCGGCTCGACTGTTATTAAATATTATTAATTGCAATTGAGACTCGCTGCGGCTATGGCAACAACAATTTGACAGCAACATAATTAAAATGTCATATGCAGTTGTTGTTGCTGTTGTTGCTGGAGTTGTTTTCTTATAGAGAAGCAGCGCGTGAGACTGGCCCATTAAACAATTGTAGCCGCGAAACGATTTCGAATTCAATTCAAAAACTGTCTACGGCACCTATATGGAATATCAATATGCCAGTTATAAATATCCAAACGAGTGCAATAAAATTTCTATATAACTGGGCCTGCCTCACACACACAACCACACTAACATCCACAGAATAAAAAAAAAAAAAAAAAAAAAACAAAAAATATGGACTAAAAAAAGAAATATGAAAGATATAAGGTATATGGTATAAAAAACATATTGAATAGAATAAAACATCTTCTAAGCCATGTCGAACATGTTTTGCTTAAACACATGAATGAAATAGCCATAAAGAAGTTAAGTTTTCATTACAGAAACGTTTTGATTCTTATGCTAAACTGATTCATATGCTGATCAATCTGCGCATGATATATGCACACGCACTCACACACACGCACATACACGTGTGCACACACACACACACACACACACACTCACTCCCAAGTAGTCAGCATATTGATTTTTGTGCCGATATGGATGCTGTTTGCCTGGTCTTGCTTTTTATTATGCTCTCTACTTATTAGAAAGTGGGTATACAGGACTGTTTATGATCAAATTAGCATAGCTATAAAGATTTTTTTATGTATATTTATATATATGTCTGCATATATCTAATCTAGAATAGAAGCTGACGCAATCTAGTGATCGACTCAGCTGCCTGTTTGCCTGGACTTATTGAATATCTTAAGTCTATAAAGTTTATATTGACTTGATGAGAAAATCGCCTAATTGACTACATTCAGTATCATTTCTTATATCGTTTCGATATATTTATCGAGATTTAAATGTGATACTTGGCGCAACACTCTTGACGATTCTCTTTATGTTATCGATACTTATCGATGAAAATATAAATCAAAAATATAAATCATATTTAGAGCAACTCTCTTGATCCTTCTCTAGTGAAGCCTCACCTCACCTCTTGTCTTATCAAAAACAAATTGATATCTCGATAAGTATCGAGAGTCATAAATTATACTTAGCCCAACTGTCTTGACCCTTCTCTAATGAAACCTGAACTCACTTCCCTTCTTATCGATTACATATTGATATCAATACATAACGAGATTCATAAATCATACTTAGCACAAATCTCTTCATTCCTCTCTGATTAAACCTGAGCTCAGCTCGTTTTCCCCGCAACTTCGGCAGCTACTGAGTATTTGGCCGTCGTTCATGGCCGACTTGCGCAGTCAATGTGCTGTTTGAACTTGTGCCGGCACAGAAATCGAAACCCAATAGTGAAACATCGCAACATCGGACACATGCGCAAAGCACACACCTTCATTAATTCGCTTTTTGGTAGCCAAGTGATTTTCATTAAAAAGCCGTCAGCGTACAATAAATTTTGAGCCGTTTTTTTCTTGTTTTCATTTTTTTTTTCATCATTTTTTGCGCCTTGCTGTGCGCCTTGTTTTTGGCCGGCTCATGTAGTAGTTGGCTTCATTATGGAGGCGATCGCTGAATGTATTTATTTAGCACGGTGACAGGCGACAGAACATAATTCGAATGCTCTTTATCGAGATTGAATACGTGTATAAAGCCGAGTTTATACGTATATATGAATATATTTGTATTTATGCTGATTTTTGCTGTGGCAATATTTGATTTATGTGTATCTGACTGCATGTCTTGCTTGTTATCTGTATCAGCGCGCATTTGAAGTATCGGGCGACAGGGTTGAAGAACAGCTTAATCAAAGCCGATGTTGCGCTCACGCATAATTTATCAAACTGCTGTCAGCCGGAAAAGATAAACAAGCACAGCCATAATATATAATGTCCAATACAATATACACAAATTAACAAACTATTATTAGTATTAGTATTGCCTACCTCACTAACGGTTCCCGGCCGTACGCTCGTGGTGGTCCCCAGTCATCCGACGATTGTCGACACGCTTGACAGTCGTTCGCCTTGAGAGGGGTCTACTGTAGGCAGCTGCCACTGTTCCATTTGATATCATAATAACACTAATGTACAACATACTTAAGCCCAAATTTATCAAGATATATATACATATTTATTCATATTTGTTATCTGTCTGTATTATCTAACCGATTGTTTGCCAGATTGTACAGATAGCCGCAGAATATGATGGGCATGGGTATGTAAGGCCACGCTTGGCTTAAGCTCTGCGGAAGTCTTAGCCAAAGCCTGAACTATTTTCATACACCTGAGTGACTGACAGGGCTTGACAGCTAAGACCGAAACATTTGCTACCTTAACATGTTCTATACCATTGTAATGAAGGTATAAATTATTGTATAGATGGAGCTCATTATGGATAATTAAATTGAATATAAAAACTGTTCAATTAGTACATGCAATATTTTATTTTATTTTAATTTTCTATTAGGCTAATTAACTTATTTCATTAAGATTTTTCTATATTTTATATGGTTTGGTTTGATTTGGTTTTGAATATATCGGAAATAGCTATTAAATAAATTAAGTTTAAATATGCCTATGGTTTTATAGTGTGTAAAAAATTAACTTACATTTCCTTCCTTTTTAACATTCAACAAAAACTGACTCTAAGTTGTAGAATAATTTGCAAACATTTCCAACAAATTTAAACAGCTCGTGACAAACTGATTAACATAGCTGATGAGGCTTCGGTCAGCACATAAATTTTGTGCTAAATTTCATAGTTTTTTTGGTGTTATTAATAACCAGCGCTGTGAACTCATATGAATTGAACTACAAGTTGATTCGGAAACCAGTTCACGCATTGTTCAAGCCCATAAAAAAATATGTATGAAAATGAATTTTTATATAGAACATAAAAAAATTGATGTATAATAAAAACACAGAATCTCTTAACAGGTACAAAGCATCTCGTTTATAGTTCAAATGTATGGATTATCTGTTCGTGTACAATACGATTTTTATAAAAGATTACGTCTGAGAGATGAGGGGTAAAATACCACTGAAATGTTTGAATGAACGTTGCCGAGATGCAACTATCTGGTCACTGGGGTCGGCGGTTAGTCCGGCCCGCTGCACGGAATCGACTACGAGGAGAGCCAAAATTACGCCAAAGGCTGCCACATAATAGGCAGGCAGCCAACTCTCCTGCGATTGGGCAAAGAGCAGCGGCAATCGAAGCACCGCCCTGGCGTCCACGGGTCTGACCACCGGCAATAGATTCCCGGCGGGCAGCAGGCGCACTTCGCTCGGCCTATCTATCTGAGTACTCTTACACAAAACAATGGGAGCGCCAACGGAGTTAATTTCATGTCCGAATTGCTTCTTACGTATCGCTGCCTGATACTTGGTCCAGTTCTTATGCACATTCTTGTTCGAATAGCAGATGTCTAGGGGTGCCAGAGTGCGATACCGCGACCTTAGCCGATTGCTGTGGTGCTCGCGTGAGACTCGCTTGTAGAGTATCCTGTAGGCCTCACACACCTTGACAAACTCGTCCGAGTCATGCGAGTCACTGTTAGCATCGGGATGGTATTTCTTCGATAGCTCAAAGAAGGCCTGTTTGATCTCCTTTCCGCTGGAATTGAGCGGCACCTTGAGCACCTCGTAATAGCTGCGTGAGGATCCCTGCACATTGTGGGCGTATATGGTATGAAATGATGCCATAAAACGCACCGGAATTAACACGTTACTATGGACATATCTGAGCATTTTCAGTTTCTCTTATTATTATTTTTTTCTACAATTTGAAAATCCAAACTCACACAGAATTTAACAAGCTCACTATAAATTTTAAAAACAGTTTACTTTACTTTTACTTAGCTTTGCAATGAAAGTCTACTCAAGTTCAGATGATAAATGTGTCTAAGTATGCGCCATTAAAAAGAACTTTCACTTTTTATTTAATTAAATGAAATAAATAAAATTGATTCGGGGCTAATCTCTTAATTGAAAAGTAACTGAAAAGTGAAAATAAAAATCTTCTTATGTAAAATTGGAAATTTTTCTGACTAGCAATCAAATAACATTTTAGCTGAACTCATCGGAAAATCCATTAAAAAGTTTTTCTGTGCAAGGCTCAGAGTATTCCAAGCTCTACCGTTCCCCACAAGACCCCTTGAACTACCTTTGTTTAAGTATTAATGCCTGAACACTAGAAGGGGTAGCTCCTAGTCGAGCATTCTCCGCTGGAGAGCATTTAAATTAGATATTCGAATTAAAAAACTAGAAAGGGTATTTCTTCGTCAAACATTCCCCATTTGAACCTTTAAGAGCTCTAAGTATTTCTTGCTATAAAGGTTGGAAGGAGTAGAACTAGTCTATCATTACACATTACTAGATTTATCAAAAGATGAGTATGAGAGTACTAGAATGGGTATTTACTACTCTAGCACTGTTCACTAGACTACCTTTGCAAGCTTTTTCAAGTATGATCACCAGAGGATTACAATAGGTATCCAATAGTCGGTCACTTTCCACTGGATCAACTTTACTTACTTTGCCCATTCATACATATAGACATATATAGGCGGTCACTTCCATCAAATCACCTTACTGCTTCGTATTTATACTTGAAGATTGGAATGAGTATCTGCTAGTTGGTCACTCCCCACCCTTACTTGATTTGTCTATGTATTCATACTTCAACAGTTTAATGGGTAGCTGATAGTCGGGCACTTTCAACTAGCACACTATCTCTTGACTCTACAATAGGGCCTTAACCTATATGTACAGGGACAGTAGTGCCGAATTGGATGAAATATGGGGCAACAGACGATGTTTGTCAACGCGTCGACCCTGGAACTTAACATGGCCAAGCTGGTATAGCTGGCCCACTATTTATAGACTGCCTGGCTGACCTTAGACTAGGTGCCAACGAACTCGACAATGAGCCTAAATCAAATCCAGGCCAATTCTGAGCTTGTGCCGCACTCTATTTGGACAGGCCCATTGACATAATATTGGCATAGATACCCGAGATGCGTGGGTGGGTCGCAGCGGGGCGGACCGGTGCGACGTCAGTTCGCACCACGCTCAGCCGATAAACAATTCCATTGAACTTGGTTTTCACAGCGCCAATGAGCAATTGCTTTCGTCGTTATTGGCAAGAAAAAAAATATTTGCAAATCCTATTAACGAAACTTTTTATTGAGCTGTCCGAAAAGCGTTGACAATTTCATGCGAATTTCAATGCCAGCAAAATATTTACATAGCCGCACAAAAGTTGGGCTGACGTATCAATCACAAAATTATCAAATTACTCATTAGATTTACATTAGACAACAATCTTCGGCTCATTCATGAAAGCAACTGAATAATCGAGAGGAACCCAATTAGTGTGAACATAAATGAAGTCTCAGATAAAAATATATTTTATTGTTCATTAGAAAAGACGTTTAACATTTGATAGCTCTGATAGCTGACGTGAGGTTTAGAAGTCAGTTTGCTAATTGGTAAGAGCGTCCGAGTGGCTCAGTCTCTTTGTATCGTGGCACATTTGACACCTTGGCTGTGTTTGGAACCACTGTGCAGCGACTGTTTGCCATAAAGCATCGACTGATCATATTCAATATGTTAATTGATACTAAAAACTCTTAAGAGAAACACAAAACACAAAACTCGATAAGCGAACAAAAAGTTGGCATTTCAAAGCTGAACAGTTCCCAAACCCAAAAACCAAACACAAAAGCCTAGAGCCAGAGCCAACGCCAGAGCCAGACCCAAACCCAGACCCAGTTTTAGCCCAGCACAAGCGCTTAGCGAAAGCCCTGACCAAAATCCAAAAAAGAAGCAACAATAATTGGAAACAGGTTCTATTGTAGAACTAGCTGGCAAGCCTCATAATACAAAGGCAAACCAATCCAAAGATATACGATATGTGAAATACGAAATACGACAAGTGGAGACTGGTTGTCTCCGCCGAACGCTGGCTCATTTATCTAAGCAAACATGAAATGATATTCAGCTAGTTTTTTATCGCTTCTTTCTATTTTCTTTTGTTCTACTCTGATGGGGTATTATAGGTTTATCTAAAAGAAGACAGTTTATATAGAAATGAGACGATAGTCCTCAGACATTTTGGGTCGATATACATAATTATTTATGTCATTCTGTTTTTATGCCTATATATATATATCTGTGAAACGGGTTATTTGTGAGATCTGTAAAGTATATCAAATAGAGAAATCAGTAGTCAAGCAGGGACAGAATGCTGAACAAATGATCGAACAAAAACTAATCAAGTAATTACCATGTTTTTATTCCTAAAAATAGCCAAACTCATTTTGGTAGTTAAAAACGTTTTATATATGACTTATCTAAATGATAAAGAATATTTATGTTTGGTTTTAAACAAAAAGTACTTACACGTTTTAATAATAATTTTAGAGCTTTTAATGGAGCCATTAAGATTTCTGAGCCATCTTCAACATCCATTAAGAAGTAAGAAGCAGTCGGACCTAAACTAAAAATTAGTTATAGCCTAAAATTATTTCAAATTATTAAAGTATGTATCAGTAATTTAGGATGAGTCCATGAGGGAAAGATTACTATTTAACTTATGTGTCTATATTGTATATCATATCAACAGCGAATTATATAAATAGTTTATGTGGTAGACTTGCCGCCTGGTCCAGCTCTAAAGCTAGAGCTCACAGTTGTAGAAATGACAAGGATATAGTATGCAACATGAGAGAGGACGATACATACGATGTATGTATGTATGTATGTATGTATGCATGTACATATGTATGTATGTATGCATCTATGTATGTTTGAATGCATATATGCATCATTTATGAATGTATCTATGTATGCACATACATATGTATGTATGCACATATACATTTACGGACATTTACATTTGTATCTGTGTATGTATCTATGTGTGTATATATGTATGTATGTATGTCTCTCTGTGTATATGCATGCATATATGTATGTATAAATTTGGTATATATGCCCATATTATGTCTGAGATTCGGCCAGAGCATTTCATCTTCGGCATGTCGATTCGTCAGATTCTTGTTCTTCTCTTTTTGTTCACATAAGTTTTGTGATTTTTATTTCGGCTGCTTCTTTTATTATTTCATTTTGTCTAAAAGTTTTCTGCATCTGCTGACGGTCTGCCTGTCTGGTCTGTCATTAGATTTTAATGTTGGGTCAATGGACAGAGCTTGAGTATTGGCCCGGAGCTTGTGGTAGAGGGGGGAGGGCATAGTCTATCGATTCGATTTGCCTGGTCTTTAAGAAATTTGAATAATTCATGTGTCAAGTTGAAGGCTGGCTTTATGCAGCCTTTCGCGTGTAAACAGCATCCAATTCAGCTCTTAGATCGCTGGATTAACTTTGCGATTGTCGTTTCAATTAAAGCTGATTCAGAAAGTGTGCAAAAACCGGCTAGAAACGGAAATACACTTGGCATTGCTGAAAAAAGATGATTAAAACGAATTTGAATTATTTGTTAGTGGAAGAATATTTGCTTTAATCAAGAATATAAGTAGCATTTGATATCAGTTTTCAGAGTGAGCTAGCTACATGGTTGGGAGTTAGTTTAAGTGAAAGACGATTAGATTTGTGAGGGTGTCCAGCACACTGCTCCCATCTCAATCAGCCTTCGTTCGCAAATTCGTTAAAGTCTGTGCATCATATAGTATACATATGTCCAGTTCTTATAGCCTATATAGCATTGCTGCTTATTGTCTCTGGCAATCTGAGCTCAAGTCCAGGTACCACGTTGATCTCTGCTCCCACTTGCTTCACCTCGAATTCAGACTTTGCGTTGCTTAGTGTTGTTTCTCTTGGAAGTGTATAATTTGCCATGGAAGAAATTCGCTTGGTTTGTGCAGCTACTTGGGGTTAAAAATATATTATTTGGATGGAGGTTGGGAATAGGACTCCGCTCAGGCACTGATGAGCCAGGCTTTCAGGTAGACAAACGCCGAGGTGGCCACGTGTGTCAACTGCTGCGCAAATGCTGCAAGAGAAGATAGAAGATAGAGGATCATAAACTTTATTAGATATGCCAGGGATTAAGCTCTTTTATGTGCGGAAATAAAACGAACGACTCAGCGACGGCAACTGCAATGCCATGTAATTTACATTTACATTTTAAATGCCGACGAGTACGGCCCCTAATGGAAATGCATCCATTTAAAGCAACTCTTGTCGGCCGGGCGACCTGCTCTCCCAGGGCCCGGCCAGATTTTACGACTAACGAAATTGCGGACTGTAAAGCCATGGCGAGGGTCCAGCACAAATTGACAAATGTTCTGGCTTACAGAGACGCAGCATCGGTAAGTCAGCTGGGCCAGGGGGTCAGGGGTATTCCCCTTTTACACTTCAAACTTAAGTTGATTAATTGGGGCTTAAGGCTTTCGACTGCACACGGAAGCTAATTGCAGTTGAATTTATGTGCATATTAAATACACTATTCAATGCTTGGCTAATGCGCATAAGTCGGCCATAAATAAGCGATTTTATTTGGTGTTTATCATTTCAGCGCATCGTTTTTTCATTCGTTTTATTATTTTTATTGATTCGATGTAAAGTTGCAGTCTCTCGTAATTAGCAGGCCATAAAGCAAGCTATATGGCCAAGAGTTTCCTGAAATTATGAGTAATTGTTGAATAACACGAATAACATTTATCAAAATTTAACACAGTTGACAGTTGTCTAGTGGGGAGTGTCCGACTGGAGTATACCCACAGTTTTTTCCTAAGAACAAAAATTATATTGATCAAAATTTAACACAGATGATAGTTATCTAGTGGGGAGTATCTGACTGAAATATTCCCAGTCCGTAGGAAGTGTCCGACTAGAATATACCCAGTCTTCAAGAGAAGAATATAAGAAAAACATTTATCAAGATTGAGCAATCAGCTGACAATTGTCTAGTGGGACTATCTGACTATAGTATACCCAGTCAGTGGAGAGTCTCCGACTAGAATATATCCGATTTTCTCTTAAGAACACAAATAACATTTATCAAAATTTTATAGTCAGATGATAGTTTTCAACCCAGCCAGGTGATAGTTGTCTAGTACGACTAGAATATACCCAGACTTGCTTTCTCTTAGCTGCTCTCCTTCTCATAAATAAAAGTAGTCTTCTTTGATTTGTTTAATACATGATACATAAGTTTTATTTGACTTATATTCATCTTGTTTCGATATACAATATATTCGTATAATATAATTTCACTTAGATTTTTGTTCATTTTCTTTTATAAATTTACTTTAAATTGTTTACAGTTTTGTTTTTCTTTGTGTTTTCCATTTTCTGGTAGATTTTTATTTATTTACTTTTGGTTTTTATGTTATATATTTGTTCTTGTTTTCTTTCCTCGAAGTATAGCAAATTGTATTTAGCAATTGTTCATGAGTGATTTTTACTATTTCTTTATTATTTGTTAGCAGAATTGATTTTTGTGTGTGTTTCTTGTTAGATTACATATAGTATAATTTACATATATATATATATGTATGTATATATAAATATTCAGTAAAATGATCCCTACTTTTTKTATGCTCATGACATAATTATCTATATGTATCTATATGTAGCTTGTGTATACAGAGTTTCTTTTTTTGTTTTCTTGTATTTCCTTTATATCTTAAGACATTAATTATATACTTTTCTTTGTGTGTGTGTGTTTTTGTTTTTTTCCATTAAATTTAAAGTAATTTCTGCGACAATAATAATTATAATTGTAATTCATCGTTCATCGACTATAGACACATACATAAACAAATGCATTTCCATAACAATCTTAATATACAAATACAATTTTTGCTGAACACTAAAGCGCCTTCCCAAAGGAATTCTCAACTAAACTGGAGCTGCCATATATATTTCATATATATATATATATACATATATATCTGTGGCTATACACATATATATATATACATATACATATATATCTATGTCTGTAATTTATCTAAGTTTTCTTTGATTTCTTTTCGTTTATTTATGACATTGAAATTTTTGCTTCTGCTTAGTTATCATTAGAGTTATTGTATTATGGTGAGCATCCGAGAGGGTGTGGGTCTTAGGGTATATTTTATTAATGCAAATAATTCTGTTATTATCTCTTTTGTTTTAACTTCTTTGTGTGTGTGTGGGTGTGTGGCAACTACTGTGCTGCATTGGGAAACTGAGGAGCAGACTGGAAAATAGGATTTAGCTTGAATGGAAATTATATTGAAATGCTTGGCATGATTAAAAGCTACAGTTGGTTTCTAGTTGTGCATGTTGACACAACATAGTTATATAATTATGTTTATATTTAAATTAGTTTTATCAATTTATTTATTTATTTTATTTTTTATTTGTTGTCTCTGTTTTGGCTTTTATTACCACTAACAAGTAAGAACACATATTTAACCACAATTTGTTTTTTTTTTTTTTTAGTTTTCATTTTGTTTTTTCATTTAGCAACACTTTTACACAGTTACAGTTACAGTTGCTTAATTTTTACAAATTGCCTACTTAAAAAGTCATAAATCAGAGCCTTACACTTGCAGCTAAATTTTATTATTATTTTTATTATTAATATTATAATTAATTTAGCTTATTATAATCTTTGTTCATAATTTTTGTTTTGAATTTAGTCGTATATAATTAAACTAAATAAACCATAGGCCATATATTGATATGTATTTGATTTTTACACTTAAAAAAAAAGACGTGATCAAACTTGCTTTTACATTCTCGTTAATCGTGTTAATTATGTTCTTTTATTTAAATTTTTCTCATTTTTTGAATTCGTATTCATTATCTTATTGAATTTAGCATTTTATTTATTTATTTATTTATTTTTTTTTTTTTTTTGGCTAATCGTACTGTATTGTTCTTGTTATATATTATTTTTGGTATGTTTAATCTTCAAATGCATTCCTGTGCTTGGCTTTTAACATTGTGTGTTTGGTGTGTGTGTGTGTGAGTTTAGTATATCATTTGGTTTTCATTTATTCTTTGTGATGCTTTTAAGTAATTCTGCATTGATCGCTTTCAACAATCAATTCAACATTCATTTTACACTTGTCGTCTACCAACTAGAACTGTGTTTTTTATTATCAGATGTCGTAGCTGATATAATTAGTAACGATTTCATAATACCATACAAACCAAAAGAATTTAACTATTGTATTTCTATTAGTGAGAAAACTGAGAACAAAAAGGCAAAACTCAAGGAAACGCAATGGAAATATTTTGTGTTTTACCTAACTTTCATTATTTTCCTATAGACACTTAACTAGTACTATATAAGTCGGATTTGGAGAGGGTGTGGTTAAGTGTATGTATGTGTGTGTATGTGAAGTTTTGAATGTAAACAGCATTTATATCAATTATTTGCATTATTATCATAAGTATATGTTTAGCACTATAATGTATACTATATATAAATTCTTTTACAAATAGCAGACTACAATATCAAAAGCACACTGTGGATATATTTTGAGTGCTCTTCACTATTAATTTCATACATATATCTTTATATATATACGCACATATATATAGATATATATAGATGTTTGGAAGAACGGCAACAGAAAATATAAAAAATGTCAAATAAAATATCAAATTTTTTTTTTAAAGAAATTATTGTAGATGCAAATGCGTGTCTGTATGTATGTAAGAATGTGTGTATGTGTGTGTCGTCATGTATATAAAAAATTTAGATCTATAAGCATAACACTTGGAATTTGTCTCTCATTCGTTATCTCCATTTGCTTCTAAGGCGAAATATTATATTGTCAATTCTTTGGCTTGAGCCGAAAACCATGCAAAATGACAAAATATATATTTCTCAGAGGATGTGGGAGTAGGAGTGGGTGTGGGACAGATTGGGAAAGAGGATTCACTCTTTTTTTAAAACATAAACATGGAAATGCGTACAACATTTAAATAGTAAAAATAATTGCAATCTTTTCATATTCGATTTAAGATCTCGCTTGAAAAAGGCAAAAGTAAATTCCTTAATTCTTATCATTTATCGCTAATTCTACACATTGAGGTTCGATGATTTTGGCGTATGTCATTGAGGAGGATCTGGAGTCCTTTGGCCTTGGAGGTGCACCAAGAACTCGTCCTTGCAGCTCATACGCCGAAATCACGGACAAAGCCGGGCCCAAGCCGGTTTTCACAGAACAGGGAATACCCCTAGCATTTTAAATTCTTAAAAGTTTTGTGCATTTGTGTGGCAAACAGTTTTGACTGGGGCGAAATCATGGCTAAAATATGGCGCGGGAATCTTCTTGAGTCGTTTAAAGCTAATTTTTATTTGGAGTTAACAAGTTTTTCTTATTTTTCTCATTTTGTTTTTTTTTTTTTTTTGGTATTTTAATTCAAGTTTTCTTTTTCCTCTTTAATTTTACTCTTGCCATACAATATTTTCAATACACAGTAAAAAATGTTAAATATTTCTCATTTAGTTGTTTATCATTTAAATTATTTGTATTCTTCTTTGTTTAATATTAGTATTTTTAATGCATTTGTTTTTTTTTTTTTGGTTTTTTTTTTTAATACGGCTTGCCTTGCATGGTATAAAAATATAAATGTTCACATATACTTAAAAATCGTTAAGTTCTTACACTTTCATCAAAATTGTGTGTTTATTTTTTTTATTTTTAAAGTAATTGAATCGATTTGATAATTGTTTGTAAAATTAGGAATGAGTTCATAATATTGGTAATTAATGTATTTAAATACGAATGTTGCTTGCAATATACTTGATTATAATCAAAGATTCATTTCATTTTCTTGTAGGGCAATGTTCCATTACTTAACTAACTTGTATTTATTTATGTTTGTTTCGAATATGTTTATTAGCAATATTTATTATTATTATTATTTGGTTTGTGTTTCCTCTTTTTATGGATATAGTTTCATAAGTGAGCTTTACTATCGTTGCTTGACCTTTGGTGTTCTAGTAATAGTTTGTGTGTCCTCAGAATATAACAGAATAGTTAATAGTTGTTTAGTTATTGTTTTTATTTTATTTTTATTTTTTTAATTTGTAATTTTTATTTTACTTTATTTTTTACTTTTGCATGCTTAAACTAAATTGTGAGTCCAGCATTTGGCAGGTTGGTTCGACAAGAGCCACGGCAGCCAAAACCAGATTCGTAGATGGCTGGCGATCTCTGCTGATTGGCTCGATTGTTGTCCTTGCGCTAAGCCAACCTTAACTATAAGTAATTTTTTATAATTTCACATTGAATTTTGTTCCTAGTTGCTACAGTTGAAAGCGAACATCGCTCAAATAGGCATTAGACCACATGACATATATAGATATACATATGTATATATATATACTAYATAGAATTCATTTTGCTTACAGCTAATAAACAATATTGTTTCTTTATTCGATATAGACAAGAAACAGTTACTGCTCTCATTTATTTTAGTATTATTATATTTTATTTGTTCTGTTCTTTAGAAGTCCAATACTTGTTATTTTTTTTACTTTAGCTGTATGCGTGTAAGTTTGTGTGTGTGTGTTTTTATAGTAAAAATAACTTAGTTAATATCAGTGTGGCTTAGGTTAGATTAATTTCGAAAATGTTCGCTCTCAATAGTTGTTGTTGTTCATACATATACATATATAGATATATATATATATACTGATATGCCCTTAAGAATTATGATTCATTCTAAACGCGCTCAATTTGTTTCATACGTACACTGAGCTATGTAAGTATGTATATATATGACAATTACTCGATTAATTCATTCATTTAGATTTAGATACATATATATATATCTACATATATATTCATTTATAGATATAGGCATACCAAACTTTAATATACAGCACATTTGTTTTGTTTCTGGTTCGAATTTCGCTAAGTGTATAAAACTTTTAGTTATTTCCATTTATATTTTGTTTTTATTTTCTTAACTTTTTGTTTTTTATTTTTTTGTAGTCTCTAAGCCAATTTGTAAAACGTTTAGTACAAATGCAATAATACATGTACATACATATATGTATACTATATATATATAGATGTATTACATTTATTGTATATATATGTGTATATATATAGATGTATATATATGCTCATATAATATATATATTTATATATATACTGATATGTTTTGCCATTTAAATGTTTCATTAGGTTTCCTACAAACTTGATTTTTTTTATACTTTTGTTTTATTCATTTTCCGACCGATTTCCCTAGAAATCAGCTTCCATTCCGGCTTGCGAGCTGCCCTTTTACAAAAAAAACTTGCAAATCTCTCATTAAAACTCTCTCTTCGAACAATACAAATTTACTAATTGTTGCTTTGTTTTTCATTTTCAAATTTCGTCATAAGAACTTTTTTGGTGTGCCCAAAGTGCGAAAGGAAAACATAAGTATATATGTATATGTATATGCCAATA